CAGTAGACCAGTGCGCTGTCTACTAGGCCACGCTCGTCTCGATATGTTGTGCAGTTGTTTTAAATTAATGTATTAATCCTAGATTCTATTTGTATTAATATTTAAAAAATTAAAAGATTTTATTTAAAAAAAGAACTATATATTTAATATTAAGCCTATTTTACCATGTTTATATAATACACTATAAATGTGTTAGGATACTGTCATAGAATATGATTCCGCATCGCTTACAATGTTATATAATGTTTTGTATAAATAAAAAAATAATGATATATATTAGAAATATCGAGATGAGATTACGTCGCGGAAGAATCCGTCGCGCAAGAGTAAAGGCAATCGTTTATTTAATCTTTTGGTAAATCTGAAGGAGAGCTCCCTCCTCACCAACATCATCCTGAACCAGTAGCCACGGAAGACTATATAATTGCTCTACTGAATATGGCATTATAAATATTTTGGAATTGCACAGAACAATATGGCTGCGTTCCTTTTGACGCTTTCAGCGCTGAAAGCGTCGCTCCATCTCTATTTGATATTCAATGTGCAACGGAGATAGAATAATGCTTACAGCGCTGAAAGCATCAAAAGGAACGCAGGCTATATAATATGTCATTGAGGTTGAGCGCTCAAGTACATCACGTGACCACGGGACATGCGCGCATGTGGTCGCGGAGCATGTCCGTAGTCGCTACATCGCGTCGGTATGACAGGTCTCATAACCTGATAGTCGTCAACTTTAACAGTTAATATTTCGTTTCGCGGGGCAGAGCGGGGCTTTTTTCTGCCAGATTCGTTCGTTTTGTGCAAAAACGCGTCGATTAAGCCTAAATTCAGCGAAATCGGTGAGGAGGGAGCTCTCCTTCAGATTTACCATAATATGATACAATATGATATAATGTAATATAATATGATACAATATGATATAATGTAATAATCTACATTTCTATATATACAATGTATGAAAAATGTCGCGTAAATATAACATAAACAATAACGATCCATGCAGATGTAAATCTTGAAATTTACAGCGTGATCCTGATGTTACGGCAACGTCGATAATATAGAAACCTGTCTTTTTCATCCTCGCGATGCGCATTGGCGCCAGGAGCGACGACCAATCGGATGACTGCGCAGATCAAAGGGCAGCCAATCGCGACGCTCAAACGCGGCCCGATTGCACGAGCGGCGAACGATCCCCGAAGAGTCTCTCTAGTTCCATGAAACCTCGCCACCTCGGACCTCGGACCAGCCGAGACGGGCCGAGCGCGGGTGTAGATTTTCACAGGTTGACACCTTCACGATGTTCCTGCCGTACGTTCGTACGATGACGTAAGCCGGCACCGGCGTCGTATACCAAATACACGCGTGTGCACGTCCATTCGACCGATTAACGATTCGGAAAGATGACACCGTGCTAATTCCGCTGATTGACACGTTACTTAAGAGCAACGACGACGCGAAGACCGGTGTTCGCAGGCATGGGCAACGCTCTCGCAGCTGTCACTTCTTGAAAATCCGTCAACAGGTCGTGAGTATGTATTTGTACACGTACACGAATAGATTACGTGCGTTCTTGATATGCAAAATCATGGCATTGACAGCACCGATTTCTTATCAGTAGCCTCGTCATTCCGAAAGCTTCACTATGGCCTCTGCGACGGAGCAGCAGCAGCAGCAGCAACAACAACAGCAGCAGCAGCAACAGACGACGCTGGAGTTTTATCAAGCGATGGCCGATTTCAAGAATATGTTTCCGCAGATGGACGACGATGTGATAGAGGTCGGAGCGTAGAAGAGACTATATTGACATACGACGTACTGCCATGTCGTCTTATTCTTTAGGTATACATTTGCACATTTCATTTGCAGGCTGTGCTGAGATCCAATCAGGGAGCTGTGGACACCACGATCGATCAATTGCTCACCATGAGTACCGACAACGAGAACGAGAAAATCAGGAGTGAGCTGGAGCAGAAGGAGGAACTTCCGAGCACCGCCAAGTCGCCCAGGAAAGACACCGGCAAATCGAGGAGCATTCAAAAGTGGCAGCCTCCGCTATTGGGACCATTGCCAGACACCTTTCTAAGGCTCCCCCAGCAAATGTCGGATGACGGTATTGACTTGGCGTATTCGCAAGAGAATTCCATGCTGGAGGATGAGAGGATCGCTATGTTTCTGCAGAACGAGGAGTTCATGGCGGAGCTCCGTTGGAATGAAGATTTTCTGTCCACGTTGGAACACGGTAAAGAATTGAAAAGAAATTGAAGATTTCGCAAAAGGGGGGTGCAGCTCGAGAGAGAGAGAGAGAGAGAAAATGGAACGCTTTTTTCTCTTGTAGACTCGAAGCTGGAGAAAGGCGGCAGCCAAACCGGTCACGACGACGAGGATCTGTTCAAAGAAAGACTGAAAAATATGGGCAAACGTAAGCAAATGAATTGGTATACAGTTGTTTAAATTAAAAGCTATATACGCGCGATTTATTTATTTCTCTAACGACGAACACCCCCTTGCAGTATCCCGACGTAAATTCGCGCAACTTACGAAGGTGTTCACTCGCAGCAAGAAACGTGGCGGCAGGCAATTGTTACCACCGACGGCTTCTTGCGACGATCTTTTGGACCCGGAAGAACAATCCAAACCTCAATCCTAAAGAGAGATCTATATCTACACGATCCTGTTGGAATATATTCGCTCTTGTCTTTCGTCAACGTGAAGACGGCAAAATTCAACGACATTTGCAGCTTAATATAATTTAGATGTCACATGTCGCGGAGAGAAGCATATCTATACCGTAACTTGCGGGACAATTACGTCAGGGATCGTGTGAGATATAAGTTGATTAGCGATTCTAGGTTTCTAGCTCACTCGACGGCTGACAATTAGCTACAGAGATAATGGAATTGCAAGGTTGAAGACCTGAAGGTGCGTCAGCGAGAAGACAAAAAAAAAAAGACTCACCGAACAAGGTGAATATCAAGGTAAAACGCTTGACGAAAGAATTATCAAAAAAACCCGTATCTCGGTAATTATGCAGGTACACGTAGGGATTAATTAATCTTAAAGCATTAATCAATCTTAGTGCATTAATTAATCTTAATGTATTTTCTAGTTCAGAGGACGCAGATCTGTTTCTGATAAATTCAGTGTGATATTTTAACGATGTTGTGACGTAAATTTTATTTTACATAGATTTTATATTTTGTTGTGATGTACGTTGCTTGCGATTATCCGTATTATTGCGTATTGTTGCGTATCATTGCGTATAATCGTTTGAAGACTGGCGCAAGAAAGTTTTTACAGAAGTCTATCGAGCGAGATGATCTCTATAGAATTGTCATTGGTATATTGGAAGAATACTTGATTCGAATTACGAACGGTGGGGACCGTTTTACGAAATGACGATTAAAACAAATGAAAATTTTTATTGTACGCAAAGTACGCGATGCGTTTGCTTTCTAGCATATACGGCTACGAAAGTAATTGATGTTGTGTATATAAATATATATATACGTCTATGTGCATCGTACGCCGATAGTGCGTGTTAATTAGGCACAATAGTTTATTGAAATTTAAAGAAAAACGCAACATCGACCCGGATTGAAAAGGAAATGTGATTCTTTTGTCAATCCGATTCTCGAAAAAATGAAGACTTGGTCTGGTGAAATAGACCGTTTAGTCATTGTTGAGATCTTAAAATCTCGGTTATACGCAACTCGTCGCGTCGCGTAAAAGAGAGTCACGGTCGGTCTCGCTCTGCGCGTACTTGGAGACACTACCGTGTCTCTCGATGATTGATTCGTTGGAAAAAAAAATGGATGAAGGCTTGTTATATTCTTACGAAATTTGCATTATTATAGATAATTTGCAAATGCCTTATATTAAATAGTACTTATCAGTTCAGTGTTGCGACGAGTAATTGAATTCAAAATTTTAAGACGACACCACCACACGAATGTTGGACGCCTTCATTCATTTATCCTTTCGATTCTACTTGCGATCGCGAGTGGTAATTGCACCTCCTTTAGACGTAAAAACCTAGTCATTCAGTCTAGCCATTATTTATTGAACAAAGCTCTGATATTGTAACGATATCGTGAATGTAGAAAATATTTATAAAAACGATCGTAGGCAGTCTAAGTAATTTACAACATGTGCTATGACGGCAAACACGTATGAGAATAAATCGGAAGAGATGCTGGAATGTGGGGATTATATTTATTCAAAATTTCAATCGCACTCAACAATTAGGAAAGAAATGGTTTCAAATGCACATTCATCTAAATCGTCGAGATCTGTGCTAACCATCTCTCTCCCAATAATCATGAAATCGACTTAACTAATTAGTGCTCAAGAGCAACAATATTGAAATATCAAAATGAGCAGATTGTCTTGCGCTACGTATCGGGTTGCTTGAAGAACACTCTGGCACCGGAAAGACTATAGTATAACAACTGGAATTCGGCGTTTCTCTCGGTGAGACGTTGAAGCGTGAGCGCCCTGGTCTGTTGGAGCTTCTCGTCACCGTTATCATCCTTGCGCTCTGCGGCGAGTCTCTCCTGGGCAACGTGCTGCTCCACCGTCTTGAACCAATGAAGACCGTCCAGCTCGGAGCTCTGATCGAGCAACGCATTGATGTAGGCGATACCCATGGCGAAGCCGTCGTCGGTGAAAGCCGCGCCGGTCTGGTTCTTCTTGAACATCTTCTCTTTGTTGGATACGGAATTGTCGACGAAGCTGAGCGTTAGCGGCGGCACGATGGCGTAGAACTGTTGCAGATGATAGGACTTGGCGTCGCGGAAAGCCGATGCAAACACATCGACCAGTAGCTTGAAGTATTGAATACCCTCGGTGAAGTTGCGCACCAGATCGTCGATGTCGTTCTCCAACCGTCTGGCAGCGGCCTGCGTCGTGGCGCTATAATTCAGTCCGCGACAGAGCGACTCAAACGGCACCGTTCTCTCGATATCCGGCAGGAAGGACACCGCGTTCGAGCTAGCGTGGAGGCCGCCGGAACGGATCAACCGCACGTAGCCGAGCGCGTTGCCGATCTGCGTGATCAGCTGTCGAAATTGATCCAGGTAGCTCAACCCATCGGCGGTCATTCCCAGTTTCCGGATACCCTTCTGAAATTTCTCCGCTCGTTCGTATGTGTATGGAGCGGCGCCCGCTTCCCGTTGCGCTCGGACGAACCTGATGTCGCGCATCAGCCGCGACTTGATGTGCTCGTCGAAGAGAAATTGCGAAAAGGTATGCAGCTTCACGCGCAGAAACTGGTAGACGAAGTTCACTGTGGTGCTCATGATACCGGTGCCGTGGGTGCGAATTGAGTTGGCGATGTGCCGGATGCCGATGGTGTTTAGATGCTTGTTGCCGCTGCTGTGTTCCACGAACGTCTGCGTGTTCAGGTTGTATAGGTACCTACGATGAAAGACGAAATGCGATATTGATTAATTTCGAAACTAAATATATCATAAATACAAATTTTTATAATATCATATTTAACAATTCTGATTACCTGGAAACGAACACGTGGATGTTGCGCATAATCTCTAGAGCGTCCAGGCCCTGCTCGAGAGTTTGCGTCGGCAGATGATCCTGCACCGTGTCCAGGCCCATCTTATAGCTGGCCAACGCGTGCATCGTCCGGTAGGTTCTCCAATCGTGCAGGGCCACTGTCGTCAGATTGTAAAACATATCGTTCAGGTAATGCTCGACGAATCTCTTCGTGCAGATCATGTTCTCGGCCAGTGGCAGCGGCGGGACTCGCACCACCCTGCCGCCGTCTTTCGCACCAATGTTGAAGGGATTCGTAGAGTCCAGTTTGAGATGAGCGTGCACGTGTAGTCGTAGGCTAGTCTCGATCTCGTGGCAGGCCGGTTTCAGGACGTTCTTCACCAGGCTCTCCCGGAGTTCCGCGATGCGTTTTACCCTCAGCTCAGCAAACTCCTGCTCGCCCACGGCGCTGTTGAAGGCAGCGAACAGATGAGCAATGTGACAGACGCCGGTATTGCCGTCGACGACCGAGGAGAGATAGGCGGGCAACATGTTCTGATGATGCAGCAGCAACGAGTAGTCACCGTGCTCGTCGACCAGCTCGTACAACTCGGCCACGGCGTCGTAACTGTCCAATAGGAACCGCAGCTTTACCACGTCCTCCTCGCGGAAGGTGTCGGTCAACTGGGTAGCGCACGCTAACGCGCAGCGCACTATCAGTCGCCTGTCCGCGCTCGCTGGACCGCCTATCAGCCGCATACTCAGCCCTATCAGCGATAGCGCGTCTAGCCGGTCCTTGCTGTAACCCTTGTCCCTCTGAACGAGAGCCTTGCGCGCCGTTTCCAGCATGACTAGCATGTAGTAAGCTAAATATTGCAACACCTGCGCCTGCGATTGCACCACGACCGGCCCGAGCGCGTAGAACATCGTCTGCAGGGACTTCTGCAGTTCCATGAGCCTGCAGATCAGCTGCACCGTGCCGCGATTCATCGGCCTGGACAGCGAGGCGTGTAGATTCGTCACGAACGCGACGATCTCCCGCATCTGGGACAGCAGTGCCAGCAGGTCCGTCAGCAGCGTACGCTTTTGCCCAATGTCCGACACCTGGAGATTGGTCCTCGTGACGATGCTCTGCATCTCCACGCACCAGCTCGTCCCTCGCTGTATCAAATTGTTCACCGTGACCGGCAATCTCTGCGTCCTCGCCTGCAGAATCTTCTCGCCCAGTTGCGGGCCCAGCACGGCGTTGCCGGTCTCCTTCGGCACGACGTCGCTGAGGAACTTGCTCGGCACCCACATCACGTTCCCCACCAACGTGACTGCGTAGAATCTCTTGTTGGCCTCCGTCACCCTCTTGATCAGCTTCCTGTCGCAAGCGCCGAACAGCTTTATCACCACAGCGACGCCGACGTTGGCCCTTATCCAGTTCCTATTCAACGCGGCACAGTCGTTAGACTTGCTCTCCACATCCGTGATCATGTTCTTCAGATAACTGACGATCTGCTCGCTCATGACCGCGCCCTTGTTCACGTCCATCACGTGCTCGATCGCCTTCAAAAACATATTCTTTCGCAGCAGTTTCTCCTGCAGATCCTTGAGCAGATGATCGAACGTCTCCAGCTTCGTCCCGGCGACGCCAAACTGCGACGGATTGTGCATCATCGAGCGCACGTGCATCCTGTACTTCTTCCACTGGTCCAATATTGCCGGTTGAGCGTCGACGATCTCGTCGAGAGTCACGAGGATCACGAACAGATCTATGAAGCCTTCGAGCAGGACAGGTAAATAGATTTCGTGGACGGCGCCGGATAGGCTCGCCAACTGTTGCGTGGTCAGGTGCACGACGACCGACATACGATTGGTGAAAACGGACAGATCCAGGAGATCCGACAGTAGTTTGGCTACACCGGCAAGATCGTCGTCCATCCTTTCCCCGTGGGCGAAGAGCTTCGCATAAAAGCCAGCGGCTTCCACCTTCAGCAATCTGATTTCCCTGCACGTTCCCGCTACCGCCGCCAGCAGCTTGGACAGCACCTTGTTCTCCATCTCCACCAGGGAGAGGATGCCAATGTCCTCTGTCGTTTTGTAAACCAGGCGCAGAGGACCCTCTATAATGTATTCCAACGTTGAATCACCCTTCCAGGACTTCTCCAACAGATTCTCAAAGAACTCTCCGTACTTGCGCAGGTGCATGGCACCTGCAGCCTTGTAGATGCTCTCATCTTTCTTGGAGTTCCACGTCGGTGTCATATTTTTTATTTACCGAACCTGCGACTCCGGTGATCTGTGATAATTATTGGACATTAATTATGATATTTTGATGACCGATACACGTATTATAAACTTATAATAATATAAGTAACTTTATATTAGAACTCTCTCTTTTATTTTTTTTCTTGGCAAATTTATTTGGCATGTAATAACTTACCATATACGCGTATTAATATTTTTATATTACTTATTTTATGTATTCGAACTTAAATAACAACACAACATTATTCTGTTTTTGCACAGTATGTAACCCATCTCATTGTTGTTCCATCCAACTTCAGCTTGCTTCAGCTGACACTGTCACACGAGACATTTGTACTCTCGAGGAGGCGGCTAATCGGCTAATGCAACATAAAGCTAATAATTGCGTCCTACTACTCGATAGATGGTAATATTCTCGAGAAATATCAACAGCCGATATTTCCCACCCAGTTGGTAAAAGTACGTATCTTACAAATACTGACAAAAAAAATCAATTTTTAACCCTTCATTGTTTATTCATATATATAAAAAAAAAACTTATATAATAACCTCTTCTCATTATCTCAAGCAAGGGTTGTGAAATAAAGTCCAATCTGTCCGCAGTGATATTTTTATTATATCAGTACAAGACGTAATTTTTATTTCTAAACAGAAAGAGAGATAGAAATTATATGATGCCAATTTTGTTGGCGACGTCGAGTGCGTCGTAGTCGCGCGTCAGACGCACGTACGCCTTCTTTTTGCCGTCCGGCCTGATCAGGGTGTTCACCTTCGCCACGTCGACGTCGTACAGCTTTTTGATCGACGCTTTGATGTGATACTTGTTGGCGCGGGTGTGCACGATGAAAACGAGGGTGTTGTTGTCCTCGATCTTCTTCATCGCTGCTTCCGTCGTCAGCGGGAATTTTATGATGTTGAACGCATCCATGCTGAAACAAGTACCAGAGACGTGTAACGATAGGTTCTCAGAAGAGAGATTTATTTCTGGGATTTCCGAACGTGGTCTGGAATTTGTTTGTTCTTACCGATTTCTGTTAGGTACAGATTTGCGTGGATATTTCGGGTTTCGCGGTGGCCTGAAGGTTTTCGGCCTGTGGAAATGGACGGACGTCCTGATCTTCCGTACTCTGGAGCCATGAACTCCCTTCAGAATCTATCAAGTAAGAAGTGTGACTGTCAGATCAATGATATCTAATACACGCTTGCACGTAGCGTGCTCCGATAATGTCAGTACTGTGTTAAAGTTATTTTCACGAATTTCAAAGAGATTCCCACACTAAAATTCATCATTAGAAAAAAAAACTGCTTTGCTTATAGCGAGATAAATGATTTTTAGCATAATATTTTTGTTTCAAACACCTTTTTCTGCGCCTTGAGGGCCTTCTGAAGCGGAGCTGCCGGCTTTCCGCCCTTCGGGGTCTTCTTAGTAGCCTGTACATTTTTCTTCGGCTTGCTAATCAACGGCTTGCTGGCGAGCTTGAGCACAGGCTTCGCCGCGGGCTTGGCGGCTGGTTTGGCGGCAGCCGCTGGTTTGGCAGCCGCTGGCTTCTTCGCGGCTGCAGGCTTAGCCGCGGGCTTCGTCACCTTCGCGGTGGACACCGCTGCGGCTGGCTTCTTCTCAGCCTTCTTCTCGGCCTTCTTTTCCGCAGGCTTACCTACGGAATAGAGCAATACAGAACTGGTTCGATAATCGAATAGGCACAATGAAGGGAACGAGGGTCGAAAATGTATTTAAGATTTGCATTATTTTCAAAAACAGTAACGGATGAAACTTGTACTTTCATCCTCTGGTTCTCTACTTCCATCTTCATAGGTTAGGTTATGGTACACGCGAATGCGGCGTCGGAAAAATCGTTGCCGAGTACGTCGCGCAGCGGATGCAACTCAAGGAAAAACAACGAATAAAATTACGACGAACGTTTCTTCGTGAATCGTCGCGATTGTCGCGAACACGACGCTGTGGAAAACACACGGCTCGATCGACCACATGGTCACGGGCCGCGTCGCGTTTCCCGATCCCGAACCACGCGACGTCGTTGCTGGTCGTTGCGAAGTCGATGCGTTACATCCGCGTTGATCGACGCGGCGCCGTTTATCGCGGAAAAACGCACGCTCGGTGGGAAGAGGAACGAACGTGGTAAATTGTTTTGAAACTCTACCTGCCTTCTCCGTGGGCTTCTTCGGAGCCATCTTTACTGGAAAAGAACGACGATGACGGAAGCGCGGAGCGTCAAAGGATCTGGCTACCGCCGCTACCGCGCTAGTCGTTGATCGACGAAGAAAGAAGAGGGCGACTCCGCCGACTCCGGTCAAATTCCGATTTCCGATTGACCTAACCTAACCTAATTCAAATTGGTAGATTCGTTTTTCAAGTAAATTTTCTGATTATGGGTTGTTTCAACCCGTAAACTGACTAATAGTTAAATCATATGTCTATCTTTGCCTAATTTGAAGGAAAAACAAAGATTATATATGATTTAACTATCAGTTGGTTTAGGTTGTAAACAACTACAGGCCCTACTGTGCAACTTATTTTTTATATGTTAACGAAAAATTAGTAAATTTATCCATCTTAACGAAATAAATTATCTGGAAATTAATTAAAAATTAAGTTAAAATATAAAAAAAATTAACAAAGGACTCCTTGATAACGAAATTAACAAAGTGGAGTTAATAATGGGCATTGAAAGTACAACGCAGTTGTTAATGAGTGAGTTATCAATATCACGATATTTAATATAATTAACAATACATAATAATATGATTAATGTCGCTCGAAAATGCGTGAGTCTTTAAGGAAAGAAAGAAGATTATATATTAAATGTATAATTTTTTTGTAAAACAGAATTTGCGCATTAACATTTGATGAAGATTTAAATTTTAAATTAAAATATCAGACGAGGATATATTAATAATTGATCTTTGCTGAAAAAGAAGAAAATAATTTCAATACGATACTGAATTTTTTATTTGTTATTGTCGCACCGAATAAAAAATAAATTTCTTATTCATTAATTATTACACAATAATTTATTCCAGGTGCCTGAATCGTTTTTTTCCACGATTACATCCGCACGAGCCTCCCCCATTGTACGTGTCGCGAGCGAACACCTGCCGCAGCAACCAATGTTTCTCGTTTACTCACGCAGAAATCAATCGTGCCCCGTGTGACCCACCGACAATAAACAACTAAGCCAGTCTCTGAACGGTGCCGGACAGTAGCGCATAAAAAATCCAGTCAACAACGATGTAATAATCGCAAAAAAACGCACTTGTGCAATAACACGCGTGGAAAAAGAAGAAGCGCGCTTTTGTTTCTTCTCAAAAGCGCTTGCATATTCGATTAGCCGAGAGTTAGATATGTTAGAAACGCGCTCCGCAGTTTACAAAATGATGAAGGAAGAGGCTCACGATGAGAGGCAGGTAGGGGAACCCATTCTCGAATTAATTAACGCTCGAACATACACGAACATACGTTTCTCTCTCTGATTTTCGCCGACAGATAACCGATTGGCCGCCACCTTTCTCGTCCGAGATCACGCCGTACAACGAGAGCGACTTCGGCGGCTTGATCAGACGGACCTGCGAGAACAAGAGCCTGACCCTTCGGATCTCCAAGGTGATCATCATCGGCGACGTTGCCGTCGGCAAAACGTCGTTGGTGAACCGGTAATGACTCGTCGGCGAACGACCACACCGTATCGTTTAATAAAATTTTGAACAAACCGATCATTCCTTTTGCGCAGTTTTTGCCACAAACTCTTCGACAACAATTACAAGGCCACCATCGGCGTGGACTTCGAGGTGGAGAGATTCGACATCCTCGGCGTGCCTTTCCACCTGCAAATGTAATAAAGCTGACGAGAGGCGCTAAAATGTTTACGGGGTGAATTGAACGTAATGTAATAGTAATTTGAGACAATGGGATACTTACAGATGGGACACCGCGGGACAGGAAAGGTTCAAGTGCATAGCGGCGTCTTATTACCGCGGAGCTAATGGTGAAAATCCCTCTCCCTGCACATAATCTTTATATCTGCCTCTCTGTATCTCTGCATCTCTCACGCGCATTTCATTTTAGTAATCATGGTCGTTTTCGACCTGGGGAACCTGATGTCGCTGACGCACTGCCAGCAATGGTTGAACGAGGCAAGTCGCTGCAACGTCGGTCCTTATCATATCTTTCTGGTCGGCGCTAAGAAGGATCTGTTAGTAAGTATTTTGGAAATATTGTTCATCACTTTTATTATTTATATTATTGCCGTCGATTTTATCGATCGCTCTTTCTTTCTGGGAAACGACAGTCACGCCCGGTGTACGAGATAGTCGAGAAACGAGCGATCGAGGCAGCGAGCCGGATGCGGGCGGAATATTGGGCGGTCTCGTCGAGAACGGGCAACGGCGTGTCCGAATTGTTCACGCGGGTCGCCGCGCTCTCCTTTCACGCGATGGCCCTGCGGGAGATGCAGAGCTTGAAGCTCGAACCGATCAACATCGGCTCGGCGACGATAAGTGAGTGGAAATCCGTGGGAATTCGGTAGAGAGCCATCATGCATTTAAATATAAAAGAATAAAATTTAAACCAATACCTTAAGTTAAAGAACATTTTGTTATTTTTTATTTTTAGCATCTCACAAATAAAAGCATAATACTTTCATCATTAAAAAAGAGTTGAGAATATGGGTCTTTGAGTGACGACCTATAAAGATGGTTAAAATGACTCAAATTGAGTCATTTAACACTATGAATATAATTTAATACTATGAATTTAACAGCGTAAACGCACGAAGGATATGTAGCTCATCCTTAAATGCAAAGTAAGGACAAATTGCTGATTCCGCTCTCTCTCTTTCCAGCGTTGAAAAGGGAGTCGAGGGAGGCCGAGACGAAGCGGCGGAGGGTGCCGAAGTGTTCCAGATGCCCGACGTGACGGCAGAATTTGACCAATATTCAAATAATGGATGATAAGATTGGAAATGCAAAGTAAATAAAAGCGGCCAGTTAAACACACAACGTACGCTCGTAACTAACAATGGAGGGGACACGTCACGAGGGTGTTCCCGACATTCTTGCTTCTATACAGTCGGAAAGAGAATCGTGAGACGAAAGTCGCGATTCCGCGCGGGCGTCTCCATTTGAATCTCGCGCGGCCGGCCGCGCGCCCCCGCTCGCGGCGCCACCGTCGTCTAACGCGTGCTCGTTGGTGCACGTTTATCAACCGTCCTGCGAATTTCCGCTCGGGCGCTCGGACTGCATCGGTCGGAGAATGACACAAAAAGAGAGCAACGCCGATACCCGCGAGTCCACCGACCGTCGCCGATCGTGGCCGATCGCCG